CGAGAGGGGTCAAAATAGATATTTTCTTGTATTGGTACCGAAAATTTTTTAATTACTATATTTCTTATAGCGACTCTAGAACCCGATACATCAGCATTAAGAATTTTTTCACGACCTTTAAGTATTATGGATAAGGTAGATTTGGCAATTCCATACTTTTTAGCAATTTATTCTTCAAAGTCTTCTTCTAGGATTTTTAGTTTCGTTTGCAGATAGATGTATGTCCGTCTGTTCTCTCTTGGTCATGACTGAATTCTCTTCCTGCTTGCAACTTAACGTTAGTTATCGAAACTAGCAGAGTGCCATTTAAAGTACTTTGAAAGTTCGTGTTAAATGAAACAATCTAATGATGCAAGGAACTTTAAAGCAGTTCGTAATTCGTGCTAACCGAATTCGTAATTCGTGTTAACGTAAATAGATAAAACTTCATATAAAATCATGTACATCACTGAAGGGACCAAATTTTCATGTCAGCCGAGGCGAGTTGGTGTTAAAGGAGTTAATGTAACTGCATACTTGCCATCCATCCGTTCTTAACTAAAATGCATATACAAATACCTGTATTGAATATTCGTCCATGCGGCATCCTTTAATGTTCTAAAATAATTAATTTAGTATGATAATAAAACTTTAAGGATAGTAACTGTATAACATATTTATGCAATTTTTATGCTACTAAAGTACCTTAAATAATACCCTATAAATTTAGCTTTTAATATATATAATTGCAAGTCATTTTTTGGGCATTACATGAGTACAGCACGAAATATGGGCTTGCTTTACTTATATCTTCTTAAACTTATTTCTATTATTGTTTGATTTATTACTTTTACGATGTGTCCATAAGGTTAAGATATTTTATTTGATGTATGAATAGCTAAAGATTTTCATGAGCAATTTATTCGAAACTTCCAGACCTCGCAAGAAAAATTCTTATGCCAGCCTGAATCTGCTTCACTTTTCTATATGATCCCTACAGATCCTTCAGCGTCTGAAAGCTTCGGCTTCTTCTCAAAAGTTAAAACCGCTGTTATTCCTCTTATATGTGCACCAAACACAGTTTAAAATATCACTCATTCCATCTATTGTTAACTGCTCTAGGTTTTATGCTCTTCCCAGAGTTCACAAAATTAAATTGTTTTTCTTCTAGCGTAGGAGCAGCATCATAAACTTTAGTTAAATATTTGGTTTCTAGAATTTTTCCCTTAAATTCTATCAATATTTACACAGTAAAAAATTCTTTTGAAGTCACCGATAACCTTACAGCGATATTACTTCACAGCTCTCGTCTGTGGTTTCTTTTGATTGTTAAATCACTGTTTACCAATGTTCCAGTTAAGGGAGCATTAAAATGCCTTCACACCAGAATTTGAGGATTCTTTTCCTCACTTACTGAAACTCAAGGATCAGTTTTTTACTGAAGTTTCTTTGAGTCAAATGACACATTTTGATGGTAATAAAAAAGTTTAACCAAGATTTTATATGTCATCAGTTCCAACGATCCAACCATCCAGCTCATTTTTGAAATTGAATCTGATAAATCCCTCTCTTTCCTTGATATTCTGATTATCTGCAATGATCTAATTTCAGCACTGCTGTTTACCGTAATCCATTTTACCGTACACAATGTATCGTCGTACTTGTTTACCCTCTCCACGTTAAATCATATCAACCTGGGGAAAAAAAGGTCCTTCTTAACACTTACGCACATTTTTCTCTTAAAATTTGTTCTTAAAAATCTTTGCTCTCTGATGAACTCCATTTTTTCAAATCGATTGTTATTTATAAAGGATCTTCTACTACACTCATTGATAAAGGTCTTTAAAAATTTTTATCCTGCCATTAAAAAAGACGTTCCGTTATTTAGATATAACGAGAATAACTTTGTAATTTTTTCGTTTCATCTTTGTATCGATTACAAGATAGCTCAAATTTTTCAGAAGTCGAATTTTCCCGTCATTTTCTCCCATATCAGTAATATTCGCCATTGGATTTCTTAAAAATACCAAAAGCGTTGAGCTGCATATTCTGATTAAAATACTTTCTGCGCGGACGCGGACACTTAGCCGACAGGATATTTAACCGACATTTAAATTTAGCCGATACAAACAGTTAGCCGACTGGATATTGATCCGACACGGGCATTTAGCTGACACGGACATTTAGTCGACAGGACATTTAGCCAAAAAGATATTTAGTCGACATGTCATTTAACTGACAAGACGTTCAGCCGACAGCAGGTTTAGCTGACAACACATATGTATAGGAAAAAAAAAAAAAAAAAAAAAAAAAAAAAAAAAAAAAAAAAAAAACATGCGACAATATTTTATTAAAATTTATTCATGTTTATCTGGAGGGGGGATGGCTATTTCCAGGGTACTTAACGAGAAGGTTTGGGAACAACTATCATATTTTTTACCTAAGATAATGTTAGACTATGGATTTTAAAATTGGACACAAAAGCAACCTTATTTTCGTGTAGATTTTGAAACCACTTTCGAGAGAAATCAGACATAGGTCTCCAGTTATTTCTTTTAAATATAAAATCGTTTCGCTTTTCTGATTGCTAAAATTTCTATCCTACTTCTGAAATACAGAGACCGAGCCCACCAAGCACTGAATGGAAAAATAGCTGAACACTGATAGCCCTTTACGGCGTTCGAATCCCGTCAGACGGGCTGGCTGTATGAGCGCTTCCGTGGCTTTCCCCATGCGTAACATGTATGTGAGCCAGTTTCCCCTAGAAACTCCTAAACGAAGGCAGCCCTTTTAGGCAGGAAGCCCTGAGTGCTTTGTCATAATCAAATAAGCCAAACCAAACCGAAATATAGAGACCTACATGGCTGAATAAGGTTGTTTTTCCATTTAATTTTAAAATACAGAGTTTCTTTACACATACTTTTATTTATTTCTTTTTCTTTACCACATACAGTCATATTCATAAACCTTCTCACTAAGTACCATGGAAACAGCCCTTTTTACAGAAAAATATGGATAAATTTTGCTAAAACATTGTACATATTTTTTTTATCGATACGTGTTACCAACTAAACGTGCTGTCGGCTAAAATGGCTTGCTGGCTAAATGCTCTGTCGACTAAATATCCGTGTCGATTAAATGTCCTGTCGGCTGAGTGTTCTATCAGCTAAATATCCGTGTCAGTTAAATGTTTTATCGGTTTAAATGTCCATGTCGGTTAATTGTCTTGTACATTTAGCTGATATGGACAGTTAGTCCTTTCGACTAACTGTCTGTATCGGCTAAATGTACGGGTCGGCTAAATGTTCTGCTGGCTAACTACTTTCGGTAAATGGTTGTTGGCTAAGTGTCACGAACCCCTTTTAGTGACGTTTTTAAGAAAGTGTATATACGCGCATAATAAGTCCAAATGTTTTATATGTCCGAGTGAATAAAGCAATACATTAAATATACGTAAATGTCATCGTAAAGTACCATTTCGACATTTTGGCATAAATATCTCTTTCTCATTATAGACTTGAAAAATCTGGGCTTTTTTTAGAGAAATCTCGCGCAAATCAGAGGGTTAAAATTTTGTGCAAAAAATACGAATCTTATGTTTAAAAGAGAGAAATAAATAAATCTTCGAGCCAATCATAGTTGGACCTTTAATCACAATTTTGATATCTTATTGTAATAAAATTATCTATTTATCTTTTGTTGAACTGAAATTTTTTTGTGCTTTTAACATTTATAAAAATTTATCTTCATTGGAGAATGGCATTAATTCCAGGCCAGTCATTATTAATACTTTCCAGATTGTAACATCTTAATTGTTTAGTTCCATTGGTGATTTCCTCGATAGATGGTCCTACGTACGCGTTCGAATTGCAAACGTCGTCGCTTCTCCTATTTTACAATTTTATTGAATTGATTATGCCTGATCTCCCTTGAAATCGAGTGTTATACAAAATCTATTTCTGTCGCTCTTTTGTTTAGTTTTAAATTTTATATTGGCGTGTCTCCCTTTCATTCGGTTTCATTTTATGTCATAACACATTTTAATCTTCGTATTTCTTTCCCATCGAGTTCATCATTCATAAATAATTTAACATATATTTGTCAGACATCAAAAGTCTTTTTAAGTATTTTATAGCAAACAAAAAATATTACAGTCTAAGGGCTTAAAATATTACAGTCTAAGGGCTTAAAATATTACAGTCTAAGGGCTTAAAGGATTATTGCTTTTCCTGTGGTGTAACTAGAATCACGTCAGGCTAGTATCGAAAGATACGTGGTTCGAATAACGGTGAGGGAATAGTTGTTTTTTATGTTGTTTTTTTCTTCTGGAAAAACGTCAAATACTAAGGAAACGTATACTTTTACGTATATGCACATATGAGTACTTTATAAATGTATGTACTCGTGAATACGAGCCAGTTTTATTCTGGAAGTTCTCCATGACGATAACCCTCCCCTTAGGAAGATAACTCTTACAAGCTTTGACATAATCAAATAAAACAAATGACATGTATATATGTTTTCTACTTAAAATTAATATGTAAAAACATCGATTATTTTCTCATTTATATCAATAAAAATACGCAAAAACATGTTCATGGAAAACTGAAATACGCTTATATATTAAAAGAAAGTTTGTGGACTTGTAGTTTCAAAACTTTTCTTAACAAATATTGCTCAAATAATATTTAAAAAAATGAGGCACAGAAGAAAAATTGTTGAGGTAATTTTAATTGCTAAACGAGAAACAGACATTTAATTAATAAAATTTTAAGAAGCTTCTTTCTTACTTATTAATAAGTAATATATACTGATGTTTATTAAACAGTCATTCAGACATGTTAGTTCAGTTTTTTATCTATTTATTTCACAAGCACTTGAAATAATATAATATAGATAAACAGTTACTAGAAAATAGTTGCAAAATATTTTTGCCCGTTTTATCCTTATTTAATACTTTGTTTTATAATCACTTAAATTTATTTAAACAGTTTACTATATAGGATTTATTTTAATTTTAGGTGCAGATCCTCACTTTATTCAATTGGAACAGTATGTTGTAACCAAAAAGGCACTGAAATATTGGGTACAAGAGAAAACGAAATCTGTTACATTTGGGTAAGCTAACAGAAAGCACAGATTTACAATGAAGAATACTTTTCTTTTTTCTATACTGATTGCATTTATGCTTTCGGGAGAAAGTGTAAAAAGGACATCAATTGCAAATACGTCTGTCTCTAAACATCTGAAATCGATTTTAAATCCACAAATTTCATCCATTTATGCAAAAGCAAAAAACGTAAAAGAGAGAACAATCAGAGAATTAGTGCGACCTGTTGCATCGAACAGACAACCAGTTAGGGAATATGTTTTGCCTGCTCCTGATCAACGTCCTCAAATAAGGCCAAGAAATTTACAGCATCAAGGTTTCCAATCAGTTGCTGTATCAAATATATTTCAGCCTCGTTCGCAGAAATATCATCAAGCATTTGCTCTACCACAAGGTCCTGTACTTCCACATGTACCAAGTGATCCAAGAGGTTTCAGAAATATTAATAATAGGCCGCAAGATGTTATACGTTCACAATTTGTAATACAAAGGAATCCCCACTTACCAAGAACGGATAGGATTATAGAACGACCGCCTCATGAAATAAATATGGGAAGAGAGCGTCCAGTTATACCTAATCATATGATTCCTGCCATTTCTGCTCCGAGGCCGTACCCTGGCTCGCCTGATATTTTACCTTCCTCAGACACAAGTCATATTCTTCGTATTCCTGAAAGGAAAACTCGTCCACCAAAAAATCGTGTGATTGAGGTATATCATCATATACCAGTTCCTGGTTTGAATACAAGAGTTCAACCAAAGATTCCTGCTGTAGTGTACCTATCGCAGAATCCTATTCATAGTTTGAAGAGTGCAGAACATTCTCATGAAGCATTGAAACAAACAACTATTCCTCAGTATATGGTTTCAGATCAAAGAATAATTCCTCAAAGATTTTCTAGCAAACCATCTAAAAATCCAATGATGATTGAATATTCTGGTAATGATCATTTCCACCCTGAATTAACGCACGAAACTGTAAAAAGTGTGCATTTGAGCCACAGACATCCAATTAGCCTACACTCAGCCTCAGTTTCAGAAGTAGATTCCCCTTTTGAAACAGAATTTGTGGAAAACATTGCTGTACATGGAGACAGAAAATTTCCTGAGAACGTTAAGAAAATTCAGCATAAAAAACAGATAAATTTGTTTACGCGTAAACCTGATATCAGCAGCGAACAAAACTCACCTAAAAATAAAAATTCTAATCCCCTTGAATCAAAAAAATCAGAGAGCGTTCTTCCTAAAGATTTAATAATTTCAGGAAAATTAAGAATCGTCCCTACTGTTGTAGGTCATAATTTAAATAGATCTGTAAATATAAAAAAATACTGGGATTTCCGTGAAATGAACGCACATGAAATTCCTCACCCGCAAGTCATGGCTTCGTCTTCACCAAAATCAGTCAGCACTGATCAACGACCTGTCTTTAGTTATAGCAGTAATAATTATCAAGGGCAAGAATCGATAGCATCGTTGTCTGTTAAAGATCATTCTAAGGATAACAGTAAAGCACATAATTCTATTAATGAAGATCAACCTGATACCAAATTTGATAATTTAGATAGTATTGATGGTTCTTCTAATTTGATGTTGCAGCCCTTTTCTTCTAAGCCTCACGACCACCAGACTAGCGTGCAAAATTTAACTAATCTTCCAGCTTATTCAGTATCTGAAGATGCAAAAGCAACCACGAGAAATCCAATGGAAATCAAAAAACATAATTCTCGAGCCAAAATTCAAGTATCTAAATCTGAGCAGGCTACGGATTCTCATAGACCTACTACAGCTACGATTAGAAATTTAAACCCTATTAGAAAAAGTACTCAAGCCCCTAAATACATTATTACGAATATTCCCAAATGGAATTCGGATGAAATGAGAATTCCTGTAATAGAGCATAAGGGAAAATACGGCCAAAAGCGCACGACTACGGAAAGACCAAGTAATAATCAGTATATACTACAAGCCAATCCACAGTCAAAATGGGCTCAAAATTTAAAATATGCTGCCGTTGAAGCATTCAGAAGTAATATTCAGTCTACGCCGAGTACTACTATTTCCACTTCTTATAGTCCAAATAGTTACAAAAATAAAAGTCTGTCGTCTCTTTATTTAAAACCCAAGGTAATCGTCACACAAATCCCAGATAGCAGCTTGGTATCCCAGAGTAACTTTGATCATAAAAATCAACAAATGAACAGTTTCGAAATCACAGAACAAAAACTGCAAGCAAGCGTTATTCAGTCACATGATAGAATTGAATCTAACACTGAAGTACCAAAACAATATTTCAGAGGCCCACAGCACATCATAACCCCTGAAGAAATTAGCACGACTATTTCAAACAGATTTGAGAACCAATTCACATCAGAAAGATCATTCTATATTCCTACAACAAAACCTTCTCAAAGGAAAATCACTCCCACAGTCGTCCCTGCTAGATCGGTGACACATAGAACTCAACAAAGTATGAAACAAAATCCTGTAAGTTCTTCGACTAAGGTTAATACTTTGCATTTGTCAAACAGAGTTTTTGGCAGGAGAAATTTTACAATGAGACAGCATACGACACCTTCGACTTCTGAAAAGCCTACATTTACTAGTCATAAGTTTCTTTTTCAGCCAGTAACAAAAAGCACGCCAAAAGATGAAGGAACCAGTACTACTGAAAGTGATAACAGAAAGTTAGTTTTCAACTTTAGAACTGGAGCTATGGATAGTGTACCACAACCTGCTAGTTCAGCTGTGCCAAAAGTAACATATTATCTGACAGAAAATTATGGATTTAAAGCTCGACCTACAACTGAAAATGTGAAAACAGATTTCAGCTCTAGCTTACAGCCTACGAAAAGTGGTATAGGTAGTTTCCAACTGTATGAAAGTTTACCAAATGCTACCAGCAAAGGTTTATACATGAATCTTAAGCCAGTCACTAAACCATACAAATCGTACAGTACACCTAGTACATCTACACTTTCAAGCAAAGTAACTGAAATTATAAAAGCGCCTACTATCAGAATTAGATCAACTACACCCAAAAGTATAAGTAAAAATCTTCAAGATGATCAAAAACTGTCTGTTGCTACAAAAGCTGAGCCTAGAAGCACCACCAGCGTACCAAAAAGTACAAAATTACTTTCTCATTACAGTAAGCCTACAACAATTATTACAACAAGTTTCCAATATGATAGTAATAAGCCTACAACAACAACAATGCAGCATTCTGCAACAACAATAAAATCAGTTAAAGAACTTACTGAAAATGTCACATCTTATGCTGATCAAGAACCTCAGACCAGCCTTACTTTGGATATTTATACCAACCAAACGGAACTTAGTGACACTGAAGTTACTACAGAAATGGATAAATACGCAACAACGATTTCAATTTTACCCACGCCGTCCAACATCAGCAGCGAAGTTACCACAGAAGCCATCAGTCAGGAGCAAATGATTGTTGATTCGTTGAGGTCAATGAAATTAAAGATGCAAGAGATGATGTCCAAAGGATTACGTCATTTGATGCCTTTGGTTATGGGGTTGAGTTCAGATGTTAACATTTCTAGCGACTGTACTTTCTCCCTGTTAAGGTGGCTACGAGGAGTAAGGGCACTAGAACCATGGGCTATAAGAAGTAAGTCACCTTTTTTCTTTACTTTCTTTTCTTTTACACTTACGTTTGGGTAAATTATATACGGAATATTTCTTGGTTTGTACTGAAACAAGTGCTTTGATTATTTGCCTTTCTTTTTCAAAGATAAAGCTAATGTACTACGAACCAATACGATTTTGTGTTTTTGTGCTTGTCTTTGTTTCAGGTATTAACTTTTTCTTCCCTTCGGTTTAATTCGTAGCATACTTTTGTTTCTTTCTTGTTCAAGAAAACCTGTGCTTACATATTTTTTCTTGGGGAAGGGGGGATTTTCCATCAGTTCAGCATTTAAAAGTGCCTTTATGAAATGGAATTTGTTCATAAATCAGATTCGTGAGAAATGCATTTAATTTCTGTTCGAAATGTATACTCATTTTCATCAAAACAAAGGGAAATGCTCGAACGGAAATCCTTAATATATACTTGATGATATAACCTTATTTTTCTTAAATCTATGCAAATGTTCACTCATTATCTTTATCTATTCTTCACTCACAGTTATATTTAAATCTTAGCTCAATCAGAATAGCTAAATGTTGCAAATTAGACAACAAATCTTGAAATAAATATAATTACTTTCACTGTAACATATTTTGAAACATCTAATTAATATACTTTCAGTTTCTACAATAATTTTTCAATTTATATTAGAAATCAGGAATTTGAAACTCTACGGAGACACTGTATTTGACTTATCAATAATGTGACTTACATTTTTGCAAATATTAAACACGAAAAAAATGAAAAATATATAAAAAGTTATCTATTTTATTTTAACATTTAAAACTATATGTTCGTCATCAAATGAAAAATATTGTCTTAATTTTTACTCTCTTGTACGAAGTAAAAAGGAAGTATTGTAATCGCGAAAAGTTTCAGGCACCATATTTCAACGAAAATATCCATTTTGACCGCTTTCAAATGCAATTTAACATGTTTTTGCGTGATATCTGTACGTAAGGACAGAAAAAAAGACTCTTTTCCTCCAAAAAATTATAAAACTGCTTTAAAATGAATTCTGAAGAGAATTTTTCGTGGCGTCTGTAGGAACGTACATATCTCGCATAACTCAAAAACGAGTAGCCTCAGAACGTTGAAATTTTGTATATAGGACTACTATAACATGTAGATGTGCACCTCGTATTTTGGTTGCAATCGGCAGCGCCAAACATATATAAATATATTTATATATATATATATCCGCTTTGTTACCCGGCTTAGTAATCGCAGTTTTTTTACTCTTATATGTTTGTAAATTGTACATTTTTTGCTTTAAAAATGATTGAATTATGTTGTTCTTTTCTTCCGGTTACGGTTTTTATGCCTTTAGTAAATCTGTATGCAATATTTTTAGAATTATCACAATTTTAAAGTTTTTTAAGTGCCGCTAAGCCTAATAAGTTTTTTTGATGGCGGCCATTGCTTGTTTACATTTGAAACAGCAGAGTAATGGATTTGTTGCCAATCTAGAGAAACGTAGCTTCGCAACAACAAAGATAACGCCTTCATTTATTATTGCGAATTAAATCATGCTTAATCCTTTCTGGAATTTTTTCGAGGAAATAAGTGTTTAAAATTTACTTCGTAATTTTTAATACAGATATTTTGAGTTTTTATATATTTATGCCTTGTCGTGAAGTGAGAACTGAATTAATTGAATGAGAAATACTTAGTCGTCTGTGAAAAACTGTTTCTTTTCTGTTTTGTTTGCTTAATTTCTTTTATACATCGTTCTAGCTTTATTATAGTATTTGAATAGAACATGTGGCAACGATTAGATAATTCTTTAAATGATATAAATTTTGTTCATTCTGAGTTATAATAGGAACGAAATATAATACTGTTAAGTGAACCGAGCGCCAGAGTGTCGCTATGGTAAACAGATAGAGTGAATTTTAAAGAATGCATTTATTCTATTGTGGTTTATGCGCGGTCGGCGAAGTAGATTTAATTCAATGCAATAAGTTTAAATGAAATGCAAGAAAAAATGCGTATAATTTAATATTCCGTACAAGGAAGTCATGTGGTGTACACATCAAATTTTTTTTATATAGTAAAGATACAATTACATGAGTTGGCAGAACTAGATATATAATTTTTCTTTAAAAAGAAAAACAAAATATTTTTTAGTCCAAAGGGGCAATTTGCCCAGAAGGACTATTAATTTCGTTTTCACTATTGTGATTATATTTCACTCACATGTATTGCCACTCTGAGAACAAAATATTTTTATCTTCTGGCGTGTTGACATTTGACAAAGCGTAAGATATTTATCTTAATTTAATCTGCTTGCTATTAATTAAGAAACTAAGCGATCCGGAAGTAATAAAAGCAGTTCGTAATAATACTTTTTATTTTATAATCGGATTGATTTCAGTAAATGTGCATTTAATTCATAATATACCTTATAAAATCTTTTCAAGGTGAATCATTAAAATCATCAAATATTTTTATGAAATTAGATTAAATTGACTCATAATTACATATTTTTTATAATATTCTTTTTAAGCGGCTTCCCTCGAGAGCTAATATTATTAAAAATAGTGTATGAAAATAAAATATTCGATTCTGAAAATAAGTTAGAAATGCAATTTAATGGTACGTTATTATTAAGGAATATTGAAATAGAATAATGCGTAAAAGGATAGACCACGAAATAAACAAAATGCCATCTAACAGACACTTCCCAAAATGAAATTTACCTTATAAAATAATAGCAAATGAAATTGAGAGTAAATAATTCGTCAAATTTCAGTAATAATAAAATCTTCAAGAAAATAAAATTACTTAATGAAAAAGGAGAAACGATGTAATATTTCTCCTTAGTTTAATCCTGTAACTGTGAAGAAATATGCAATTAAATGCAAATTAAAAATCCTTTACAAAAGAACAAATTTTTTCCTCTGACACTACAAACTCTGAAACTATCTGTGTAAGATTAATAGCTTCCAGGAGGTGAAAAGATGCATTAAACACAAAATTTCGAAATCTTCAATCAAACTGAAGATAAATAGCTTTATTTATTCACAGTGTTGAATATCAATATACAAAGTTAACGCAATTCAATAATTTAAACATATTTATTTACTGAAGTTTACGTACAGCAGTAAAAATAAGATAATTTTATTGAACAGCTTACTTAATTTACATATATATCTAAAAACTAGTTGCCAAATTCTAAAAATTAAACATTACAATATGGAATGAAATAATGAATACAGAAAACGATTCTTAACACACAGACAGTTTATTTTTCTAGAAACTACTTTTATTACCTTTGCGTGCAAAAATGCTAAACGTAGCGAAACTGCTGAGTGCACGGTGCTTTTCAGGAAGATAAAATCTTGCACGTTTGTCTATATCCTGTATTATATTGATTCGAAATACAATGTTCTTTCTCATTTTATGAAAGATGTGAAATGAATTCGTTGCTCATTTTGAAAGATATCAATCATTTTATTTTAAAGTAGATGAAGAATCATTCGTGAAAATAGCGTTCAAGAACATTAATTTTATGAAGAGTATTACATTTCAAATGCTGCGTAAATAAATAAACGTTCAGAATATCGTAATATTTTCTGATGTTAGAAACTGTACTTTGATGAAAAAAATCCGATTTGGGGATATGTATGGTTATTATCTGAGTTGTTGCCAATACAACATGCAGAAAGATATTTTTATCTTTCGAATAACGATAGAATACTGCTAATCAGAATAAGGGAATGAACCACTTAAAGACATTTATTTCTTTATAGTATTTAGCTGCTTAATGATAGCAACGAGATCATTAACAGACGTTGAATTCTGAATAGTGGCTTCTATGCAGTGATTTTTTAAGCATTTATATTTTTATAATAATTAATTTAAAAAATACTGTTTTCGTGGCTTTGAAAAATTGGAAAAATAAAAATCGCTAAATTATCAGGGTCTTATTTACGTAAAGGAAAACGTAGCATTGTGTCTCTGGTTTTCATTTTCAGTGCGGCCTTCTGTAACTTTTCTATACTATTTTTTTTTTCTCATTTTCAGGTGTTGGATATATAAAACTAGAAGTAGGGATAAAATTTTAAAATTCCTATTTAACCTTTTGTGTCCTTTTTTCAAAAATCAGACACATTACCATTGTCCAGCACTCTCATAGGTAAAATGTCTTTTAATAAAGCTTCGACTTCTAAACTAACATTAACTCGCACAGCCAGTATCTGCTATTGGCATCATATTTGTAGTTCGTGATGTTACGTAAATGTGAGAATCTTTCTGTAGTTATATATATGATCATTTAATTGATAATTAGTTTAATTGTATTGTTTTTACCTGCACAATTTTATTAATTAAAATTTGTAATAATCGCCGTGTTAGCATGGTGGTATAGAAACTGAATGTTACAACCTAGGCCTGGGTTCGAATCCCAAAGAAGGCATGGATGTTTATAAGTATAGAATGCTTTTGTTGAATAGGATCACTTTAAGTATTGTCGATTCGAAAAGGCTTTCAAGAGGTTGATGAAAAGGGATAGATGTAGGAGACTGTCAGATCTGCTCTTTGGGGTGTTATCCATAAAAATTGGAACCGAATTTGATGTGGATTAATTTAAATAATTTGATACAGATGTCCAATTATTAAGTTATCTCACGAAATATTTTTTATGATTTGATCCATACCTACTACTGAAAAGAATAAGAGGAGGAATGGCTTTTAGAAGAGGTTTTCAGATTTATAATACGGCCTTGATGATTAATTGTATGTTTGTTGTTGTCGAATCCTGATAGAGTACGAAGAAATTCGAGTTGAAAAATAGGGCATATTGTGATTAATTAAACTCCTTGGGCAGCACAGTGAATTATTAAACGTTCCATTTCAAACAAGATCCAGACAGTATAGGGGATAGTAACTGACGATGCCGTACCCCTTTCTTTAAATTATTAACTTATTGAAAAGATTTTAGGTTAGGTTACATAGATTTCACTTCATCTTACTGGCAA